AAATCGAGCCTTAAAAATGAGTAACAGGCTCGGCCTGTGGACACACCTGTAATACCAGCACTTTGGGAGGGCCAAGGCAGGTGGATCACCTGAGTTTCAGAAAGTTTCGAGACCCACCTAAGTCAACATGATGGAAAGCCACTGTTCCTACTAAAAATGGCAGAATTACGCTGGGTGGGGTGGGCAGCGCCTGGTAATCCCTGCTCTGGGGAGAATGAGGCAAGAAATCGTTGAGACCCAAGAGGCGAGGTTGAACGTGAGCTGCATAGTGATTGCCTTGCACTCCGCCTGGGTGAGCAGAGCGAAATTCCGTCAAAAAAAAAAAAAGGAATAACAATGAGATTCAGAAAATTAATTATGCTAGTTGAATAGAAAAAAGAAAACAGATAAACTGATACTTAAGCTAAATAACATCAGAGGAACACTTGGGGGGGATGAAGTTATAAAAAGTTTAATATAACTAGAGTAAATTTCAAAAGATAAAAATGGAGAAATAAACTAATCAAGAAAAAGGAAACAATTATTCAGAGGAAAAACAAATGGATGAATATGGAAATAAGTGTGTAATCTAGGGAACTGCTACATGGCTCAGCTGTCTGCAACTTCAATATTTATTATAAATATAACTCAAATTTTGATTAAGTAAAATATTATTTTTAAAATACATTGAGCTTGTGTAAGATGGAAAGTATTACAAGTATTCTTGCAGGTCGAATAAGCATAATACAAGAAGGCATGCCTAAAACTTGCAAAATGTTATAAATGGGTATATACGTATATAGGTAGCTCTATAAAAGTGTTACTCAGAAAAAAATGGTAGTAAATTCTCAATAATAAGTAAATTATTTGAAATGAGATTCTTTTGAGGATGAAAAATGACAGAGTAAAGGCTATTATTTTGTATACAAATTATGGAGAAATGTTTAAAATTTAGTCTGTAATATTATAAAAGTATTTATTTTCTATTGCTGCATTTTATTTTAAAAACAAAAGAACTTAACATTGCTTAAAATCTTGCACATAGTTATTAGTAAGATTTCTAAAGTATTTACATATTATTTGGATATATATAATACAAATATATAATGTAAATGTAATGTATATATAATGCGCATATATTATATATATATAAAAAATGACACCAACACATTGTAGGCCATAAAGACTTTGATTACTTTGTGTCTTGGTTAAAATTATGGTTATGCTTTACACTATACTTACCAATTACATCTAAGAAATCTTTTGAATGTTGGATGACATACAAAAGAAATTTGGAGGCCGAGACGGGCGGATCACGAGGTCGGGAGATCGAGACCATCCTGGCTAACACGGTGAAACCCCGTCTCTACTAAAAAAAAATACAAAAAAACTAGCCGGGCGAGGTGGCGGGCGCCTGTAGTAGTCCAGCTGCTTTCTCGGAGCTGAGCAGGGAATGCGTGACCCGGAGGCGGAGCTTGCGGTCTGAGATCGCCACTGCCTCACCTGGCGCCAGAGCGCGACCTCCCGCTTCAAAGAAAAAATAAAAAAAAGAATAATAAAGAAGAAAGAGAGTGGTGTGGAAAACAGGATTTTTCTTTGAGCGCTGTGCATATGATAACGCAGAGAGTGTTGGAAGAGGAGTAGGACTGTTGGTCGATACAATGATCAAGTGATAATAGTTATGTATAAGAAGGGTATTCCCTGCATTGTAGACC